ATTTTTTTTTTTTTTGGCTTTAACTTATGTAAATAAAGCTAACAAATACATTTTTTTTTTTTTTTGCTTTAACTTGTGTAATTAAAGCTAACAAATACACTGACATATTCACACATCAGAACTAGGATTTGATGGAATCTAACAATAAGATTGACTTTCACTTAAGCAGCATACAAAACTCATACTTGGTCCTGAAGAGCTTCTCTAAGCTGGGATATTAAAACCACTCTGTTAGCTACGATTTTTTCAAGTCGGCTGATGCCATGCTGAAGCAAGGCCTCCTGCTTCTGTATATCACTCACGGTATCAGAGCCTAGCAGGTCACCTGAAGATACGGTTCAATGTCACGAGGTCCAAATCATGGAATCGCAGTAAAACACCACAATTTGGACATTATTTTCTTCAATTCATTAACAAAAGCATAAAAACATGAAACTAAAGAAGCCCTTGAATATCTTTTCATTTTCTTTTTTCTTAATTAAAAGAGAAATTGTTTGATTGGATTATAAGATGAAAGCGCAATGACGAAACTTGATCGATACAGGTATTTAATATATGACTGGATGTAAGTGGTGATATTGAAAATGTGCAAGTGAACCTTGGAATAAGTAAGATCCATAATAATGAGTAACGATTTGACATTCGTTTAAGAATTATATATATATGTGTGTGTGTGTGTATATATACTAAGAAGTAGGTGTGGCTAATGAGAAAAGTGAAAGCAAATTAACAAAATATACAAAAAATTTCACGAACAGCCATGTGCTGAGAGGCTTGAGATATGAAATACTTCCCTTTGTGTCCTTGTGGGAACTAATTCAAGAACCAAAAAAAAAAAAAACATGTATCCGACAAGGACATAATCACTGTTATCATGAGAAAAGTTCTAGAAGAAACTAGACCAAGCCGAACCTGGAGTAGAAACGTTAACATCATTCTCTATATCCCGCAGGTATAAAGCAGCATCTTGGCAATTTTTTAAGGTGTCTTCTTCATTGACAGTTTCATCAAGTACCAGCTGGAAAGCAGTTAGGATTTTCTCCGGCAAACCTCCAACAGCCAATTTCTGCAGGGAAAAAAATAAAATAAAAAAAGAATTAAGGAGAAAATTTCATGACAATGAACGGAACCCATATTACGGCCCAAATAAGTGGTCCTTACAATCCTCAATGAGTTAGCATCTCTCTTAAGAATCTTGATGGGATTCAAGTTCTTTTCAACATTGACCGGAAAGGGATTCTTGGCCGGAGAAGGTTTCTTGCCTGGAGAAGATTTCTTGCTTTGAAACTCATTTTTCAGTTTTTCACCCCTTGAACCAAAAACTTTTCTTTCTGTCCAGATATCAACCTGATGCCAATGTAGTTCGAGTAAACAAATAAACCTTTAAATGAAAGGAACACAAACTAGAAAAGACTAATAAATATAAAAAGCATACCATATATTGTTTTAAGGAATGATAGAAGGGTCACATTGAGTAGGAACAACAACATAATATATCTCAAGCGTGAGCTGAAAATGTGTTGAGATGAATCAACTAAATTATCAAGAGTTTGCAAATGGCATAGAAATTGCAGGAAATACGTCTACCCACGATCAGTGTATGGCGTACACGAGGTATAAATTCTTAATTATGTCTGAAATGATCGGCTACATAAAAAAATCATTCATAAATTATATACTGCTCACACACATTGGATATAGGTCCCTCCACAACGCAAGTCATTCGAGCAAATATTTTGATCCTCTAGTTAGCAAATTTCCTTCACTTTCCAGTTTGTTATATTTCAACTAGTTTCTTCGCAGAGAATCTAAAATATATTGAATATATATGTATATATGTATAAAACCTAATTAATAAAACCTCTATAGGTTTCCCGCTCATTTTTTCAATTAATGTAGAACCATTATTTTACATTAATAAAGTGCAATAGTAATTTTAAAATACTTTATTATATAATAATTATTACTAATACTAACTAATTATAAATTTACATTAAATAGTATGTGAAAATTACATACTTATAAGAAATTGTATTGCAATTATTTTTTTCTTTAAGATACTTATTCTACAATAAATATTATTTTTTTCGTCTTATTAAGCGATTTTTCTCTAAGTTATTTGGCATGAGTGTCATAATTAAACCCCTTAAAATCACATATACAATTGCCACAAGAATAAACAAAATAATTGTACTACTTTTCTAACTAATTAATTGTTATAAGATTACATTGTCCATTGAAATTTATGACATCGATATAATGATTCATACGTAAGTTGAATTATATTTATATTGTGCATTTTCATATAGTCAAATATTTAAAATGTATACATCCATGAACTAATTTATATTTTTAAATATTGTATACATACATATCATATATAAATTTTAATTTGTCTATGTGCATTTGCACAAGAATGAACTGTAAAAAGATATAATTTATGCACCAAAAAATTGCAGAGGGGAACTAAATTTTAGTTCTTGCAAGCTCAAGTTGAAAAGAAAATTAGAGTTCAGAAATTTTCCAATATATTCTAGAAAAAAGAGATAGTGAGTAAAAAAAACAAAAGACCGAAATCTTCACAACAATAAAAAAGGATCAAGATGGAACTGACGAGGATCTAAAGTATTAATCTCATATGCTTGCAACAAAATGTTACATAACCCATAACTTCAAAGCAGTAAAACAGAAGGCATTAGGGAAAGGTAAAAACTACCAGCCTGGACGCTACTTTTTTGCAATTCTCCTCCCTACCATCACAAACGCCCTTCAGCACCTTCGGAAGAACCTTCCAGAATTCATTCACAAATTCGCTGCCTTTACGCCTGCTATTTTGCAGTATATCATTGGCCAGATATAAAAAAGAAACTCGTCTCTCCTTAGGTACGGATTTAAATAGTGCCTGCCATGTCTCAACTACTTGCTTTGCCTTTTCACGGTGAGAAATGCACCAACGAGACATTGCTGATCAGATGTTAAAGAAAACTGCAGGAAAAGTCACTTTTTTGGCTATATGCATACAAGACCAGAAAAGTTTACACTTGGGATATGATTGGTTATGAACTTAATCAATAATAAATCAATCAAAACTCAAATTTAACACAACCTCACTATTCTCAAAATTAACAATACAATTAAATAATATCAACCAATCATTCTTACACATCACATCAACTTTAATTCACTCACTTAATTTTAACTAACCATCATTTCCAATTATTTTTCTCCTACTTTTACATCAAATCAATTTTAATTATTTTATTATAAATATTATTTTTATTTAAACTTAAATTCTCACAAAAAACTAACTATACCACATTTTTTAAAATTAACTATGGTTAAAAAAAGAACAATAAAAAAAGAATCAAATTCATATCCAATCACACCCTTAGCACTTCAAAGCAAATTTACATGCTTTGAAATAGTATATTAACCATATGCTCATACACAATAGTTCCATTATAAGCTTAAAGAGAGAAATATCATACAATTTGTCGCTGTACAAAAAAAAAACTCAAGGAAAAGAAACTAGCGCGGCTCAACATGAACACATTCATCCACTGTTATGCCAAACACGGCATTAATTTACAGCAAAGGTGATGGCAAATCCTGATAAGTGAGAAGAAAAAAGATAAAGCTAACTATCTACAAGTAGAAAGGATACACTCTATACTTTGTTGAGAACTACTGAGTTTGGTCAGCTTTTCAGTCAATGAGGTCTCACTGAAAGAATCCTCAGCACCCATTTGCAATGTTTGAATTTGAAGGGTTATTGTTTATACCTAAGATTGCCTGCAAGAGTAGCACCAGAAAGTAAACACCAGAGAAGGGAAAGAAAACAAAAGCGCAAAATCCGGAGGGTGGGGTCGAGGGTATAAATCGTATCACGATAAAAGAATGTAAAAGATATTAGTGATAAGAAAATAAAAAAAAGGGCAATGCACCTGGAGCCACATAAAGGAAACAATTTTTCAGCAACAGAAATTTATAGAAACAAGAACTAATTAGTAAAATCAAATGCGTTTTTTAACTTTTTCTTTAGTGTTTTTCCATTCTTCTATTGCACTTCAAACATCCAGCTATTATATTATGTTTCCACCAACATTACCCCAACAAAAAAGTTGGAAAAAAAAAAAAGCAACAAAAAGAAAACTTTACATTTTGATACAACTTGTGGCCACTTGTACAATAGTCCCCCCACCACTTCTCTATAAAAGAAAAATTGTTTGCAGCCGCTAATGGTGTAGAGCTAATCAGCACAAACTGGCTTTTCAACCATAAATACATACAGAATCATATATCCATAGCTTCAGCTCAGCTCAATGATTGCTTATAACTATTGAGTATATATAAACGTTACCAATAAATGCACAATTACAAGTATTCATTAGTTACTCAATGTGTAACTCTTTACCTTGAGTTTAATGTTCACAAGCCCCGTCTCAAGAGAAGCCTGTCTGCCAAGAGACACGATTACAAGACTATAATCTAAAACCCAGCTAAAAACAAGACCGAAAAATCTAAACTTGCTCGGAAGATGTAATTTTTATCTCTTGAAACTTGGAACAAACAATGAAACCTTACCACCATCCTCTTGAAACACCTCCATCTGAAAATCCCTGAAGAAACCCATGAAAATAATCAAACGGGTACCTCAAAAAGAGTAAAAAAATCAAAGAAAAGCCAAACGAAATACACGAAACACAATAATCTGGACAAAGAAAAACAAGAAGAACAAAAAAAAGAGTGGGCTTTTAGATATACGAACATACAATAGATATGCCCGCGTCGAGAGGCGAAAGCTCTATACGAAAAACTGAGTAAAGAGCCAAGTGGGGAGCGATGTACTCTGTTGAAAAAGGATGAAAACCTCCGGGAAAAAAAGGAGAAGTAGGGTCGCGTGCAAAAAAATTACAGATTTCATGGATAAAATCGGGAAAGAAAGTAAAATGAAAGGAGTACAAATAAATTTACAGATCGCCCCCTCAAGAAACCGAAATGTCAAAATGCGTCATTTGGGAAGTGACACCTTAAATTATTTATTATCTGCTCTTTTTCAACCAGTGTCATTATTTTGACACACTTCCATAAATGATAAAACCCTTTTTCTGTTGTAAGAAACTAGGGGAAATGGAAAGCCCATATGAAGCCCAAGTGGGGTTTCATCCCAAAATCAATTGGTGAAAGGATGAGTAGCCCATTAAACTTATTAAGTGGGTCTATTTTCCATGTATTAACAATGTGGGACAACTCACAAGTGATATTCTAACGCGCCCCCTCACTTGTGAGTCTGATATCATGTCTCTAACTCAGGCACAAAGTGGGCTCTGATATCATGTCTCTAACCCAGACACAAAGTCGGTCGGGCTCTGATATCATGTCTCTAACCCAGATACAAAGTGGGCTCTGATACCATGTAAGAAACTGGGGGGAAAATGGAAAGCCCATATGAAGCCCAATGGGGTTCCATCCCAAAACTAATTGGTGGAAGGGGGAGTAGCCCATTAAACTTATTAAGTGGGTCTATTTTCCATGTATTAACAATGTGGGACAACTCACAAGTGATATTCTAACACGCCCCCTCACTTGTGAGTCTGATATTATGTCTCTAACCCAGGCACAAAGTGGGCTCTGATATCATGTCTCTAACCCAGACACAAAGTCGGTCGGGCTCTGATATCATGTCTCTAACCCAGACACAAAGTGGGCTCTGATACCATGTAAGAAACTAGGGGAAATGGAAAGCCCATATGAAGCCCAAGTGGGGTTAAAGCCCAAGTGGGGTTCCATCTCAAAACCAATTGGTGGAAGGAGGAGTAGCCCATTAAACTTATTAAGTGGGTCTATTTTCCATGTATTAACAATGTGGGACAACTCACAAGTGATATTCTAACACGCCCCCTCACTTGTGAGTCTGATATCATGTCTCTAACCCAGGCACAAAGTGGGCTCTGATATCATGTCTCTAACCCAGACACAAAGTCGGTCGGGCTCTGATATCATGTCTCTAACCCAGACACAAAGTGGGCTCTGATACCATGTAAGAAACTAGGGGAAATAAAAAGCCCATATGAAGCCCAAGTGGGGTTTCATCCCAAAACCAATTGGTGAAAGGAGGAGTAGCCCATTAAACTTATTAAGTGGGTCTATTTTCCATGTATTAACAATGTGGGACAACTCACAAGTGATATTCTAACATCTGTTGTGACATTTTTTAATGAAGTTTTTTTTTCTGGCGGAAGACATCTTCATAAAACCGATCGGATTATCTGTTTATAACTGGGTCAACTCGTCTCATTTAAAAAAATCCTCTCATTGGAGAGTCTTATTCTCTCATCACATTCTCTTGGAAGCGAGGTTGTCGTATTCCTCTTCTAGTGGAAAGTATATGGGCATCTTGTGGTTGCGTAATTGTAGGAGTTCGCGTGAGCTAGAGTTTTGTTTGGGATCAGTGTTGTGGGAGGGATTGGCGAGGGGACACATTTTTCAGCTTTGAGGTTTGTCGTAAAGGAAAGTAGCACTGTAGAGTTCGAAGATGAGGATGTGTGAACCAGTGTAGAAGAGTGTAGTCGTAGTCTTCTAAGAAAAATTTTGGTGAGAGGAAGCTAACATATTTGGAGTTAAGACTATGAGAGTGGTATGGCAGACATCAAAATCTGTTGAGGTTAAGGGGTTGGGTGCCCATTTCTTCCAATTCATCTTCGGAAGCAAGGAGGATAAGGCAAAAGTCCCGGCGGGTGTCAACAGGGTTTTTGAGAATCAATAACTAATTTTGCAGGATTGGAAGGAAGGCATGTCTTAGCAAGATCGGAGCTTCAACGAGATCAAACTCTGGACTCAGGTACATAAATTTCCCTCAATTGGCTAAGCTCAGAGGTTGGGTTAAAAATGGGAAAGGTTTTTTTGCCTAGGTTTTACGTAATGCAGCTGGACTAAGGGACAAGTATCGGGTTCATTGGTCTTGTCTTTGCCGGTTTTTTGTCTTCTAGCTCGATCTTTAGGGCTTGATTGTTTATGAAATAATTTGTTCAAATTGAGTTATTTTGGTTAACTATAGTTAATTTTGAAAAATATGGTATGATTAGTTGTAGTGGAATTTTAAGAATGTATTAAAATAATATCTAAAATAAAATAATTAGAATTGATTTGATGTAAAAGTAAGAGATAAATGATTGAAAATGATTGGAAATGATAGGTAGTTAAAATTATGTGAGTGGATGAATAGTGAATTAAAGTTGATGTGATGTGTAAGAATGATTGGTTTGTATTATTTAATTATATGAATAATATTAAAGATAGTGAGGTTGGGTTAAAGTTGAGTTAGATTTTGAGTTAAAATAAAAGTGAGTAAATTATTTTGTAAACAATCACCCCCTTACTTTTCTTTCCTTGTTCCCCTCTAGTTCACTTGCTTAGGGCTTGATTGTTTACAAGTTAATTTACTCACTTTTATTTCAACTCAAATTTAACTCAACTTTAACTCAACCCACTATCTTTAATATTATTCATATAATTAAATAATACAAACCAATCATTCTTACACATCACATCAACTTTAATTCACTATTCATCCACTCACATAATTTAACTACCTA